CAAATTGCTAGAAATTCACGTACAGTAAATAAAAGAAAATTAGACCAAACAAGTAAGAAATCTGTCAAATACAATTGCAAGACATGCGGAAACTGGTCAAGATCCATTAGTAAAATGCGGTGCTAAATAATAATGATCATTACCACGTATTTTCATTACCATACAATACCTTTATTAACAAGATTGAATATATGAGACACGGAATAGCTGGCTAGAATTACATAGATTCATAGAGTATCGCGGTGCAAAACTCAAAGTTTATTATTTCCCTCCGCCTTGAATGCCACGTCGCCTGTAATGTATTCCGCGGAGCACGAACACGCACTCTAAACTCGGCGTGGCAAACGATCCTCGCATAAATAATGCTTCTAAACAGTGCTATCCAGGATATAGATATAGATAAATTTAATTAAATTCCAACGAATACATACTAATTGGTGATGTTAACTGATTTTATGAGATATTTTATAGTAAATATTATGCGAAAGGCCATGAATAGTGTTACAAATGCAAGGGTGGGGAAAAAAATATGTGCACTTGAAGTCTGGTTATTCTCATTTCGTCTTTAAAGGTTTAGTAAGAGACTTTTATAAAAAAGACTATAATTAACTTGTTATCAAGCGATATGAAAAATGATTGGATTACTAATGAATTTATTAGGAATAAGATGACCATATTTTTTTAAGTGAAAACCGAGACCGCAATTTTTAGTTAAGGTAATTCGGGACGGGAAGGAGTGTCAATTTTTTTAACTCAGAATTGCGTACTTTTAGTAAGAACTATATTATTCAATTATATGTAATACTTTCTTATCTAAGACATTATATTGTATCTTATATTTCACGATCTACATGTTTTTTCGCTTTTCAGGTTTGTATAAAATTCTATACAATTTTTTTTAATTTAGAAAAATTAAAAATTAATAGAAAAATTAGCACATTTATTTATGAATTTAAAACAATCCGAGACACTCCAGCACAAAAGATTTAAATCCGGGATAAATATTGCTTTTAGAAAAACCAGGGACACAAAGTGGTCTGCTTAATTTGGTAAAAAGGTGAAAATCTAAAGTTATATGTGTTTTCTATAAAAAATTTATCTATTTTACAAGAGCACATAGAAAAGTAGAAACAAAATGTAAATAATTTTCAAAATGAGCAGTTGTTAGAGTGCGGAGTCCCAAAAAATGGGCCTACGATTGCAGCCCTCCTAGTGGAAATGATAAAAAAGGGATATTATTAATCTAGAATCATCTAGATTAAGTTAAAAAATATTTTTTCAGCAAAGTTTCTCAAATTTTTTGAAAATAGTACTACAAATTGAAATTTGGGTATGAAGCTAGTATATGTCAGAGAGAAGTTTAGTATGAAATTTCAAGTGAATTGGTTTAGTAGAAGACTAGAAATCGTGAGCATCGAATTGAAGTCTTTTTTAATTAAAAAAAATTGAAATTTGGATATGAGGCTAGTATATGCCAGAAAGGTGATTGGATCAATTTTTTACCACTTTTTTTTAGTATCTTAAATTTTTTGAATATATATATTACAAATTGAAATTTGGGTATGAGGCTAGTGTATGACAGAGAGAAGTTCAGAAAGAAATTTCAAGTAAATTGGTTTAGTAGAAGTCTAGGAATCGTGAGCATCAAATTGAAGTCTTTTTCAATTTTCAGTTTTGAGAGAAACGCGTTTTAAGTTTCGCAAAGCAGAGGGAAGAGACAAGTATTACCATGATCAAATAGCTATATCTCTGAGAATAGTTTAAATTTTGAAAACTCTTCTATATTATTCTTAAATAGTTAAACTTTAGAAATAGAAAACAAAAGAAAAACTTTTTTTGTATTTCTACACGAGAATACCCCCTTAAAGTAGTACGGAGAGCATACAACAAACAAAATATATTAAGCTTACAGTTAAATAAACAGTTATCATGAAGAAAGAATACATATAATCGACCAAAATTTCACCAAATATTTCCATTATATTTTCTAAAATTTTGTTATCCAATGGCTTAGAACTAATCAGCAGGAATATGTATACATACACACATTCAGATATATGTATATCTATATATAAATGTACCTATATATCTACTAGGTACATACATATTCCAGAATAAGCGCGTTGAACTTTACACGTAGCGTTTAATTAATAAAGATTCAATTAATCATCGCGATGTATAGTAAAGCGTCGCACACTGTTTCGTTGCTTCTACACCAAAATTTCATATGTAGATGTAAGACCTGCATATGCATAAATATGGATTTGTATGATGCATGACCTTATTCTAACAAATATTATTATATATACAGACCCCCAATACACCAGCGAATAGATGCTAGTTAAAAATTTATTGTCGCGAGAACATGGAATTCAATTCGTAGTAGAGTTATTGATTGATTAATTGGTTGAAGGATTGGCAGGGATGAAGGAGTAGTTAAAGTTTTAGGAATTGATCGAGTATTAGTTATTGAAAATTTAGTATCAGGTTTGAGAAAGAAAGTATTGAATCATCCATCAAGTATAAAATCACTAAAACATCTAGATATAGGTACGTTATGTAGTAAGTTTGTACCTGAATCTGGTTGATCAACAAGAGATTTACTATTCTTGATCTTCTGAAATCGTGGCTATGCTTTGGTTCTATGTTCTAAAGACTTATTATTGAAGTAATAAAAAAAAGAAGTAAGAGATATCACAAAAAGTTACCAGGTCACCAAAACAAGAGCTCAGATTTAGAACACAAGAAATTTGAATATTGAAAGATAGTCTTTTGATTTTTGAAGAATTAGAAATTTTTGGAAGCATGTTTTTTTTTGAAAATTTGGATAACATTGAAATTTCTTGAAAGTTTTGAATACCCACTCATATCAGTTGATTCAAATTACAATATAATTGTTTTGCGACTGTCAAATGACATGTTTTTTTAGACCTGCCTTTGCAAAAACTTGCCACATTTTTCATTGCATCAATACAAGAGAAATGTTTTGTGAATCATTGAAATCGAATGCTCCGTTCTCTAGATTTCTATTTTCTGCACTCTTTGCACCGTATCTCCGAAACGGCTGGACCCACTTTTGCCAAAAACTAATCAGCACGTCTCCTTATCAATAGGAATTGAATGTTTTCTGAATAATTCAAATTGGATGAGCGATGCTTCTGAAAACGTCGACGAGAAATTTTATCAATACGTACATCAATTTTTTCTAAGGTATACCAAAATGTTCAGAATCCTCTGATACGTGAAGATATGCAAAAATTTTCATTTTCCATTTTTGGACGATTACATTAACTTACCCTACGGGAAGTTAATCATATATTAAAAGGATAATTTATAATCATATCTGCATGTATGTGAATGGAATATATATGGGATTAGTGACAACTTATATGGCACACAATGTCCAAAATCCGCGTCCATATCGTTAGTGCGTTCATGTGCATCTAAAGCTGCAAAATAATTCAATGAACCATGTAATTCAGATCAAAATGCATGCACTATATCAATCAAGCTAATTAAATTTTAATTTGCGAAATGAACAGCTTCATGATTTATGGCGCGGGCTCGGTCGCATATTACACAGAAGCATATTATCAATTATATTAAACTATATACATGTACAAACCGCTTACACAGGAGAAAGTTTATATAGCTACCCATTGTAATTATATTAATAATTCTTGTAATTAACCAGTTTTCCGAACTTTTGCTGTCGGCGGTTGCACACACATTATACAACAAATAACTGTACGTTTGAATGCCAGGATTTAATATAGAGCGCAGTGCAAAGTTTGGAATTATGTTTATTTGTTTGACACCATAGATTATTATGAGATTTTGCGGAATTACATGATAATTAATTAATTAATTCTAAAAAGTATGAGATTTTAACGCTAACAAGGCTACTACGCAGCGATGCAAGTAAAACAAAATTATGAATTTATAATTAATTAATGTTTAACTAACTTTGTCTAAAATTTAGAACTAGGTCTAAAATTGAGAACCATGTGTAAAGTTCAGAACCATGTCTAAAATTTAGACACATGTCCAAAATTTAGAACTGTGTCTAAAATTTAGGACACTGTCTTGAAATTAGGACTATGTTCAACATTTAGAACCATGTCTATAATTTCTCTAAGTGGGTCTCAAATTTAGAACTGTGTCTAAAATTAAGGACCACGTCTAAAATTTAGAACTGCATATGTTGAAAATTTAGAACTATGTCTTGGCGATGACAAAGAGCATAGTCTCGAAATGTTTATAACTATAACATGATATTTTTATTTCCATATAATTGCAATCTGCCTGGTAAGGCATTCAGTAGTAATTTTGGTGACAAATGTGTAAACATAGGATTTTTAAATGCAACCCAGTGGTAGTCATTTTAGGTTTGAAAATAGATGAGATAAAATTACAGAACAATAATAATAACTTCACATTATATGTTATTTACTAAATCTAAAAAGTTAGTTTTTTTTGAGTTTGGCGAGTTGGTTCGGATGATCTTCAAATCTGTTTTTTTTACTTAGATGCATGTCTTTAGACTTTTTTTGGTACAGTTAAAACATATTGAAGTCCTGGTTCATCAGACAATTTGGGAATTTTGGGAGCCTCTAGTATTTTTTATTGATTTTATTTTGTGACCTTTGCATAATGTTTATATTGGTTTGGATAGACTATAACATCATTTAAACTCAAAAACAGTGCAAAAAATTTATATATCTTATATATAAAAATGAATCGCAAAATGTGTTGGTAAGCGCATAACTCAACAATGCCTGGACCAATTTGGCCAATTATTTTTTTAAAATGTTCGTTGAAGTCCAAGGATGGTTCTTACGGCGAAAAATCGAATAATTGCCGGAAACCCCCTAAAAACAGCCCTTTTCTTTTCCTCATAATCACGTTTTCTAACTAAAACGTAGAATCAATTTGAGCTTTATTGCTATTATATAAAGTTCATATTAAATTGCAAGCATTCACTGTATACTTCTCCTAAATGATTATTCGAATTTTGATAAATCTTTCTGGAGTTTGTTAAGGAAATTCTCTAGGATGTATGTGATTATAAAGTACTGGGATGTATGTGCAATATTGTAGAAATAATAGCATCTTTACTAATCTTTTCGCATTTGTAAAAATTTCAACAACAAATGGGAAAGTGAAGATGAATACATACAATTCGGCCCTCACGATATCGATTAGGAAAAGTTTAAGATGCAATTTTGGATATCTTAAATAATAAAAAATTAAATTAATTTAATCCAACGTGAAATACCAGTGTTATGTTATGTTTATGGTTATGTTATACTGTTTAAAAGACTTCAATTTCCAATATAGTGTGGGAATTGAGTCTCATCATTTTATTTAACATCGCTACATTTAACATCGCTCATATTATAAATGTATATGGATTTTGGCGTGAAGAGTAATTTAAAAAACAAAAATTATTGTATTTAGGTAAACGGTAAATATTAGTATATTATATTGAAAAAATGTAGACATGGGTACAGGACAACGTCTGTCGGGTCATCTAGTATATATATATATATATATATATATATATATATATATATATGTATCTAGTTATAATCTTGTGTAAGTTCGTTAAATTGGATATAACTACGTACATTCTTTTACATTACCTTCGTTATTATCCGTCGGGCAGCTCACAACGATTTTGTAACGGATAACACGGACTCATTTTTTCGCTTCTACAGTTTTTTTTAATATCATGTGTTGTGCGGTTTAATATAGCCGAACGCTGTGCCCTTAATGATATTACATATTAAAATCCTTCTGCTGCAATATCATGCAGGATACGCTCTGTTGTATATATTTTTAACAATATCGGGTCAAACATTACGCTTGAATTTTTTTAATGAAGTAAATGATGTCCGGGGGTAAAGGATACATTTTTGTAAATGAAAAATTACCACAATTTAGAAATACTCATAGTAAATAATGTGCATGGACACGTACATATTTGCTGTATGTAAGTTGAAAAATTTGAAAATTAAAAAAAAATGTTAAGTATAACTTAGCGACAAATGAATTAAACATGAAAATTTGTGTCCTTTTTTATTGAAAATTCGACGCTCTGCAAAATTTTTGAAAATTTTTTCATGCAAATCTTTGAATAAATTGCGCTCTATCTAATAGACCATATTAAGAGCTAAAACTTTCAGAGAATTGTTTTTTATTAATTTGGAACCATTTGAGCTCTTGGAAGCAAGAAAATTCGAAAATGTATATATAATAAGGACCACCCATAATATATAGAGATATGAGTATATTTCATATTTATCTGTGCAAGTTTTGTCTGAAAATGGCACTATAATAAAATATGAATTAGAAAGAGATTAGCGTTTCGCCCAGTTTATGTTTCGACACTTTTTAAAACTTTGATTTTAAAAACTCTACTATTGAAAAACTTGTATAATGGAAAAAGCATTATTATGTATTATAGTATACACCGTAGTCGCATTTATGAACCATTAATAATAAGATAGTCTCTAAAGAATAATTTTTCAAAAAACACAAAAACTGCGGTAAATTCAATCATGTATATGACCAAAGTTGATATTAGACAAAATATATTAAATGTAAATGTTCTGCTATAAATTGCAAAATTTTATTATGACAAATGAATCAATTGATTTCATATGTAGGTATTCATATACACATATGAATGCTTTTATTTGTGTATGTAATTCTATGCAACTAATGAGTTTATATTTACCCAAATATTCGTTATTGTCGTTTATTGTAATGAAATGATCAAATACACATTATTTACATATTATTTGTGTCCCATACAAAAAAACTCACGTAGAGAATGGTAATGAAGTCTTTTCCAGTGATTTATTACGTCAAGTGTGGTGACACGCACGCACCGAATTACATATAAATGTCACTAACTGAAAATGAAGGTGTATTCAGGGATAAATATGATAAAATATAAGAATTTAAATTTGAGAAATTACAATATATTATTATGTACTCACCAGAGCAATATTAATAAATAAACTAATATTGACCTTGAAAAACTGAACTTTTATAAGGCTCATCTTCAAGACAATACATCAACTAATTATAATTGTAGAAATTTATAAAATCTTTATTAGTTCCATACGCTTTGAAATATTATATAATATCATATTCAGTGGAATACAAATTGTAAGATAAAAGAAACTAACTAAAATGTGTGGCAGAATCAACTGTAAGGATTGTAACGCTACTTACGTTGGTGAAACAGGTCAACATCTACTATATTTATCTATGTATTATCATATGCCACATATATAGGTAACATAATAAGTATATATTCCTCCTATCCTAATGGAATAGAGAAACCTTCGACTATATATATCAAAAATATATTTAGCGAAACGTCACTGACATTTTCGTTGGCGGCAAAGATCGTTATATAAAAATATGAAATAACGCGACGTGGGGTCCGAAAACATAGGTAAATTCCGTGACCCGGTACCATTACGGAGTTTTACGGACAATTTATTTTACTTTCACTAATTTGTTACGACGGTCAA